ATCTTGTGAACGCAACTCCTCTTAAACCGGATGGCAGATTTTGCTTAAACTTACAGGGATGAACAACCTTAATATGTAGATGGTAGTAAAGGAAGGAATTTTTTATGCGACCAAATTTAACAGAATTATGGCCCTTTGTTGATTTTTTTACTAGATACTATATAGAAATTTTGTGAACGCAACTCCTCTTAAACCGGATGACAGATTTTGCTTAAACTTACAGGGATGAACAACCTTAATGTGTAGATGGTAGTAAAGGAAGGAATTTTTGCTGCGACCAAATTTAACAGAATTATGGCCCTTTGTTGATTTTTTCACTATATACTATGTAGAAATTTTCTGACCGCAACTCCTCTTAAACCGGATGGCAGATTTTGCTTAAACTTACAGGGATGAACAACCTTAAGGTGTAGATGGTAGTAAAGGAAGGAATTTTTGATGCAACCAAATTTTACAGAATTATGGCCCTTTGTTGATTTTTTCACTATATACTATGTAGAAATTTTGTGAACGCAACTCCTCTTAAACCGGGTGGCAGATTTTGCTTAAACTTACAGGGATAAACAATCTTAAGGTGTAGATGGTATTAAAGGAAGGAATTTTCGCTGCGACCAAATTTTACAGAATTATGGCCCTTTGTTGATTTTTTCACTATATAGAAATTTTGTGAATGCAACTCCTCTTAAACCAAATGGCAGATTTTGCTTAAACTTCCAGGGATGAACAACCTTAATGTGTAGATGGTTTTAAAGTAAGGAATTATTGCTGCGACCAAATTTAACAGAATTATGGCCCTTTGTTGATTTTTAGTTTTCAACTTGTGGCACATGTAGTCCAAAAAATATTTGACCTAGAGTCATAAGATTGACAGAACAGTGGCGTGTGGGGGCATCCGTGTCCTATGGACACATTTCTAGTTTAGCAATCATTTAATTCTGCTGGTGGCAATAGGTTTTACCCACTTGACACGAGTGTCAGTGTTTTTTGTTTTTTTTTTAATGCGTTTATGTAAACTCGCCGACGGAAAGCCCATATGGGCGACTGTACACTCAAGTCGGGCCATCCTAAACGTTCCGCCAAGATTTTTTCGACAATTTTTTTTTCAGCTTTATTGGTGGAGGAAGACCCCAGGTGCCCCTTCGGGCATTATTTCAGGCACAAGCGGGCACCTGGGTAGAACCACCGACCTTCCGTAAGCCAGCTGGATGGCAGTGTCAGTGTAGACCAAGCTAAGTCAGTACATCTGTATTGTCTGATGATGGTCTGCACTGTTCTCTTTATTCAGTCAATAATAATTATATGTTTTGAAATGTTCAATAAAATGAAAAATTCAGGTTTTGGCCAGATTGAAAAATGGACAAGTACAGTTAAAAGATTTAGGTTGGTACCAAGATCTAAAGGGCTGCGTATTGTATGATATACGTTAATGGAGTGTAACATTTTAAAAGTTGTTTCTTTTTTAATATAAATTTTTTTTTATCAGTTAAATGCGCTTATGATTATCTAAAAGTAAAATTTATAGTATATCACAAACATTAAGCGCATCTTAATGCTTAGATGTTTATATAACGAAAATGACGTCATGTCAAAATATATGCACAGCCGTGCCATTATAACATTTTTACAGAGTCGTTAAAGCAGCATAGGTATTTGATCAATTTTAAAGTGTATGTCACACACAAAAGTACTTTCTATTTCATATGGCATCTGATTTAGTTTATAAATAATATAATTGTTCAAATATATTCAGCTTCTGTCCTGGATTATATTATATATTCATAATATTTTTCATTTATAGACCTCTAACAATCATATTCCCTGTTGATTCTAATTCAATTTCTTACCATTGGTATAGACAACAATAAGATTCTCAGTATGCCTGTTCGGATCATATAAAGATTGCTCTGAGGAGAAATCTTGCCTTTGTCTTGAACTCTTTTAATCTTATTTCTTGTTTATCATTCCACTTGTTTACCAAGATCATCTCTAACAACTCAATTAGCACATATAATGAGGTTTCTAAAAGCTTGCAAATAGCCATAGCAGTATCTCTTTAGATATAACTTCATTAAGACATGTCCTTTTTCTACGAGTTCAATGAAAAACATCCTCTTATTTCCTAGAAGTTTAGAGCAAATGAGCAGTTATTGGATGTAAGGAGCAGCTATTTTCTCCAATATAATGGCCATAAAATAAATACCTCAATGGTCAGTTCTATGTCCAGTGTTAATTTGGTGTTTATGGATTCCACTATGGCCTGAGCATTTTGTCAGTGGAATGGCCATTTATAAATGCCTCTAGACCCATTCCAATTCATCCAGCACATTCAACAAGATATCTGTGTTAAATAGCCCTTTGTTAACATTTTTGTCAATGTCAGCACTTTTATTTACAGACATTTTATGTTATTTTGGCCTGGGATGACTAATTTGTGTTGTTTAAAGTTTTTGGCACCTCGATTAATGATAAGTCTAGGATTATAATGTAAAATGAAGACAAGAAGTCCAGTTTTTGGTGAAGTTATTCAAGTGTGCCAGCCTGTGACCAATCCTCTTCTGGCTGGCATCTGTATTTCCTCTAGCCTTTAAATGTCTGCCAAACAGGATATTAGCACAATAGATTCATCACAAAATTGTACAATGAATGTATTAATGCAGAATTTGTCAATGGTTCATATAAATAGAACCATAAACAGACCTATTTCATTGGTGAAAGGTCACACACCCATCTATAAGACATATCCATCTATAAGACACACACATTTATAAGACACACAAAGTCACACACACACACACACCCACATCTATAAGACACACCCATCTAAAAGACACATATAGAGGATATTGAATGAGAGTATGTTCAATACTGAATTTATTGCACGAGTTGAATAAAATTATAGTATGCGAGCCTCTGGCGAGCAAAATATTATTTTATTCAACAAGTGCAATAAATTCAGTAATGAACTTACACAAATTTAATATTCTATTTATCACATACCCAAAATAAAGACCGTTTAAAGTGAAATAAGAGTCAATTTTCATTTGTTAGTATAACGCTAACATTTAGCCCGTCTTTACACTATGTTTGTATAAGGCTAACGTTGTCACATCAAAATATATGCCAGCCGTGCAATACCTTATTTACGGAGTCTCAGAATCAGCACGGGTGTGTGATAAATATTTATAAGACACACAAACCTATAACACACACACATCTATAAGACACATGCGTCTTTATAAGACACACCCATTTACAAGTCGCACCCATCTATAGGACACACCCATCTATAAGACACGCACATTTATAAGACTCATCCATCTATAAGACGCACCCATTTATTAGTCACACCCATCTATAGGACACACCCATCTATAAGACACGCACATTTATAAGACTCATCCATCTATAAGACTTTGACATGGTCTTCACAGAGTCTATTTTCTGGTGAATATCTTTGATTTCGGCTTAATGTGAAATAAATAGTGTATTGTATGGTATAAAATTATCACAGCATTTCATGCAGTAACAAAATTGGAAATTCCTGTAGCAAAAATTTAACTGTAAGCTAAGTTAATTTGCGTTGGAGTCTGTTCGGTACATAATCTTTCATCAGTTTGATGTAAAATAACAATTCATTCTAAATGCAGTTAATTGGATTTTTATCTTCCTAATTGAATTTTTACTATGCCATTTTAATTTTCCCAATCATTGAATTTCTCTTTGATTTCATATTCATTTTAACACTTTTTTGGAGGAAATTGTTTTTATTCATTGATTAATTTATTTGTTTAGTTTCCTATACAACCGAGCTGCCAGAGCAACTGTTCCCAGGCAATTTGATAATATTTTTTTTATTTCTTAAATTGACACAAATTTCATATGGAGAGTTGCCCAACAAAAAATCACTATTCATTGAAAACAATCATTAAAATGATATAATGAAATCTGTGTTTTTTTTATGTTTTTTTATTTTTCTTCGAAAATTCAGGTTAACATTTGTTTTATTTTCATCGTATTGGTTGTAAAGATGAATGATAGTTTTTTTTCATCATCTTTAATTATGAACGACTTAAGCAGTTAATTGAGGTAGGACCTGGAGTAAGCGGAATTCAAGCCGGAATTCAAGCCGGATACAAATCTGTTTTACATGCACTAAGAGCACTTTCGGGAGTTCTGTAATTAAGTTTAATCTCAATTTTCCTCAAATGAATGGACTTCATTAATTGATAATTCATTTTACACAACTAGCAATCTGTTTTTTCCTGAGAAATTATTAGCACAGAAAGTGCTTGTTATGTAGGTGAGATAGTTTTACTTCAGTTTTCTGAATAAATCGACTATTTTAGATAGTTTTACTTCAGTTTTACCAATCATTCTGCCATTTTATACTATTTTGATGGTTTTTCAATTTTCTATCATCTCTGCGGCAGAATTGAAAGATTGTGTTTGATTACTGATATAGAGTTATATAGAAAGATATGTTTGTTTGTATTTCTGTTTTATGATTGTATTTATTGTATTTTCTGCTGTTTTATGTTTTGTTTACCATGTGAGATAAGAATTAAAAAGGAAATTAAATATTTTTTACATATTTGTATGAATAAAATATTTATAACTGATGAAAATAAAATTTCAGACAAGAACAAATTTATTATTGAGAGATTTATCAGCATAGTGTGTGAAAATGTTGATACTTTGAACCTTTGCATGCCAGTACAATTTTTTTTCTACCAAAATGTTTTGTCTGCAACAACTTCTTCACAACACCACTTGATCCTCACTGCAGCTGAGGTTCAGGGTAAGGAAGTATAATGCAGCTAGCTTAAGGAATGTTGGTGGTTACTTCTCAGGTGTCCATTTGTGCTTGAAATAAAGCATGGAATGGCACCTGAGGTCTTTCCCCACCAGTAAAGCTGGACAGTTGCCATATGACCTATATAATTAAACTGTGTTGGTGTGATGTAAAACCAGTAACCGAGATTTTTTTTTTTAAACAGCAGAATAAACCTTTGTCTCCCAAAGGGTGTTCCATGCAGATTTCCGATTAAACTGTATAATTATGCAAATTGATAATGTGTACGTATATTTATATTTTCAGACTGTTCAGACGAAATCAAGACCAAAGAAAGAATATCAAGTGCCAAAGAACCAGTAAGTGTCTATGTTTATATATGAAATCAAGTATATGTAATTATTTTGAGTATTTTGGCATACCCTATTGGAATTAAGAAATTAAGTGGTTACTGAGTCCTTTTAAAGACTGGTGATTTATGTTCAAAATTGAGAAATTATGGGTTTGATGGTTGCCTTTATTTGTTCCGAATATGAAAAAAATTGTTGTTTTTTTTGTTTAAAAAAAATAATAATAAAAAATAATAAAACAAAATAGTCTCATAAATAAATCATCTAATAATATACTTCAAACTATTGCTACATAAAATAGAAACTATTGTTTTATACAATAGATTGGACTATGGGGTACATTATTATGTGATTTATACACTTGGCTAAGGAAAGAAATGCTTGTGATCCATATGATGTCAGTAACCCAAACAATGTCATGAAAATAACTTCTCCGCCCCTAGAAAGTTTAAATTTCCTTTGCATCAGCATATTAGACTGGAATTAGATATCAGTTTCTCTTGCTTTTAATTGTATTACTATTACAATAATGCTTAATCTATCAGTTGTAATGCTTTTGAAGTTAACATTACTCGGGCCTATCTGGCTTCATGATTATATTGCTGTACATCTAAACATGCAGTACTTGTGTGTTTTTTACGAATATTGTATTACCGCATTTTAACATTTAAATGAATAATGTGAACATCTATAAATAATCAACAACTCAAGACCAATGTAAAGTGAAATTTGTGATAAAATTGACAATTTTTGCATATTCACTAGATAACAGTCTCTAAAAACAACAACTTACATTTGTTACATGCCTGTGAACAATCGGATGAAGAATTCTGTCTATTGTCAGTGTATTGCCAGACTGTAAGACAGGAAGTGAATTGAGTGATAAATATGCTGTAGATTATCTCCTTACCTCTGGTTGCTTCCTTAATTATTTGGATTCTATTGATTCTGATTATTGAGGTTCTTATAAAAATATATGCAATTTGACAGTTACTTCCCTTTGATAGATTGTCCCCATTTGTAAACTCAGATAAAAAATGCAGTTCCTCCCCTTTGATAGATTGCCCCCATTTGTAAACACAAATTTAAAAAATCCCATAAGAGTTATTCCTCTTTATATTTGTGTTTATACTTTTAACAATAATTTGGAAAATCAATCATAGAGATGTTTAAATTTGTAGGGATCATTAAATTTAAAGTTCAGTTTAAAATTTCCTTTTATTTTCATAAGACAATATCTGTTATTGTTCGGAGCAGACGATTGTTGTCATCTCTATCAACCAATATGTCTACCAATAATGAAAACTGATGTAATATATTCTACAGAAATTGGACATGATATGGCAATAACTGTTATATTATATCCTATCTATATAATAGAATACTGCTAGTGTCATGTCTTATCTTAGACAGACAGCAAAATAAATCTCAATTTTTTTATTTACATCAAGTTTTGAAAATTGATGAAATATGTGTGTTCAAGGAGATTAAAGGAATATTATCACTTTGAAATCCAGTGTTTACAATGTGGATTTACCCTATCCTGAATTTGAAAAATTGAGATTTTGAATTTCAAATAAAAAGTTTACCCTTAACCTATGTTTAATGGACCTGTCCACAACTATCCATTATCAATTTTAGAAGAAATGAATCATTGGAACTTCTACAGTACATGTTTTGTGTATATTACATTTAACTGATTCCCAGAAATAGCCTGGGTTACTAAAGGTAATGGGGAAATAGCCTGGGTTACTAAAGGTAATGGGAAAGTAGCCTGGGTTACTAAAGGTAATGGGAAAGTAGCCTGGGTTACTAAGAATAATGGGGAAATACCCTGAGTTACTAAGAATAATGGGGAAATTATAGAATAAGCTTGGGTTACTAAGAATAATGGAGAAATACCCTGAGTTACTAAGAATAATGGGGAAAAAGCATGGGTTACTAAGGTAAATGGGGGAAATAGCCTGGGTTCCTAAGGTAAATGAGGAAAAAACCTGTTTAACTAAGGATGAAAAGAAACAGCCTCCAGGTTTCTAAGGATAATGGGGAAATAGCCTAGGTTACTATTAAGGATAATCAATGTCCAGATAAAAATTTGAAGTCGGTCAGCAAATTATCTCAAGTCTTGTTCGATTAAATTTATTGATATGCATTCTGGTCTTGAATTCTGCTTATAGCAGAAATATGGAAGATGTTGAACCTTTCATTGTCTCTCCTGAACAAAATTACTCATTCAAATGATAAAAAATTAATGTGTAATTTTCTCCACATGAATTTTGTTTCAAGTGAGCTTTTATTTCCGTTTTTTTTTTTCACTTATAATATATATATGGATATTGTTCAGTAATGCAATGTTCAGCTAAATATACAAATATTTATTTTATCTTATCCGTATTATTTGACTTATACCATCCAAATTGAAATTATTAACAAAAGCAACATTAAACAAATGCTGCTTTATTTCTTGTTAGAAACATTTAGTAAGAATCTAAAAAAAATTGGTCTCTTGAAAAAGGCAAGAAAATTGTAAGAATCTCAGTTACATTTGAGTTATTTTCCTAGAATTTTGATCATGCAACCTGTTGTACTAGAATTGTCTTTAAAATACTCATCACATCGGAGATCAGATCTTAAAATCTTGACATTTCATTAACAGGGGTATATAATCTTCTCTTCAAGTCAGTGAGCTTTTATGTCTCTAAATAAAATGGTGAAACTTATTGGAATATTCCAAGCAACTTTAATATCAATGTTAGCTTATTTATAGAGTATGTGTATAATATATTATATGCTGGATTTTCTTGTTTTTCTAATTACTTGGTTCAAGAATCTTCTGTCTATTCAATTAATGACATAGATAATATTTTGCATAATTTCACACTTTGGGTTCCTTTCTACTTTGAGTTTAATAGCTTATAATTTAGACTTCCAGTATGAATACTGGGTTTTCTTGTTTTCCTAATTACTGGGTTCAAGAATTACCTGTCTATACAATTAATGACATAGATAATATTTTGCATAATTTCATACTTTGGGTTCCTTGTTACTTTGAGTTAAATAGCAGTCTTGTGGCTCTACAGGGAAGCAAATTGATGGATATTTCACTAGCATTTTCATCAGAAAACAGTTACCATGAATCCTGATAATAAATTATCATGTGAATAGTGATGATATGTAAGTCTGGCGGCATTTATTAATATTTTTTAAGGCTTATCAAAAAGTCCATGTACAGATTTTTTGAGTGTGGAAAGGGGGTGGGGATGTGTTAAGGGGAGGGGGATGATTTGGATTTTTATGACATAATAAATATAATTTAAAATTAAGATGCAAAAATCAAGCAAAAGTCATAATTTTACTCATGATCACAGCCAATTTCCCTCCTTTTCCCTGTTTAACCGTTTCTGGGCTATGCATTATAACCACTTGTCAAAATTTTGTGACACCGTCTGGTAAAAAAAATCCTAGATTTGTACCTGAAGCCTCTTGATAATATGCACTTGGTGCAATATTAAATACTAATGTATATTTAACAATGCTAGGTATTCCAGTATTCCAGTCTGGTTCTAGAAAATCAGATATTTCCGTAGACTGGTGTCGGATACATTCTCAAAGTGTGTTAATATCTACATCATTAAATCATACTTGAAATATTGACTGGTACTTAGGGAATTATCTTGCAAAACAGTTATTATTACGGAACTCTGTCTTAGCCTAAGTTTTTATTGAGAAATTATGAACCATAAATATTATTATTATAATCAGAAAATAAATTGTGAAGATAACTTATTGTTTATTAATTTAAAGACTAGCCATTTTTTTATTATTGAAAAAAAAAGTTAAAGCTGAAATTGGTTTTTCAATTTACCTTTTCATTTTACAAATTTGAAATTATAATGTTTTTAACAGTGTTAAATTTTTAAAACCTCAGTAGTAACAGTCGTAATTTTCATACAGCTTTTTCAGCGCCAACTGCCCAAAAAGGAAATATTTTCCCCTATTTCTATATATTAAATCTCTAACTTACTCAGGATATAAGCAAAAATGCTAATTTAAAATTGCCGGGTAGCTTTCAGCCTTGCAGCATTTATCATACATACAGATACATGTATGTCAAAACAAAATAATGCCATGTAAATACTGATGTTCTTTCAGTTTCATTGCATGGTTTACCTATTCACAAAAGTTGTAAAATTTATCATATCATATAGTTTGGTAGTTAGCATTATATTAGTACGGTTATCAGGTATTAGACAAGTTAAAATAATTATCTATATTTATATATTATCATACATAATACTGGAGACCTCCTGGTGTTTGTAGAACAGTTTTATCTATTTAGCCTGGTGGTCCAGCAGTGCTAACTAGGTAAACACCAAGGCGAGGTTAAAGTGGCACTGAGGTGGGATGCATGTTACAGATGGGGTTCACCCTCCTCATCTTTCATGAAAATTAGTGCGTAACAGAAATTATTACATGTGTGGCAAACAATTCAGCTTTTATTAAATATTTCCCTTTTTTCCAGGCAGGGTTTTAATTAAGAAACACTGACATTTATTAATAATTACAAGGTCATATAGCAATGTTGTAATGATATATTCCAAGACTCAGCAAAATGTGGGGTTGTTCTTATTCTGAGGTACAAATCAAACCTAAATTTCAGCTTAGTACAACTTGGTAAATATGCTAGTAATATCGCAATGCATTGGTCACTCTATTGTGAACATTATGTTACAATAAAAATTTAAGTTTGTGTGTACCCAAGTATTAGATCAGAAATTTGCCGAGTTTGAGTTCAGGATAATATCATTCTATTTCAAGCTTTTACTGATGGATCTGAGGACAACCCAAGGTGCCCCTATGTGTATTAGTTCAGTGACAATTAAGCAGGAACCCTTACCATTACTAATTGGACCAAAGACCATACATCAGTTTTAGGGAAAAGGCCAAAATTTATATTAGTACCGACTCTCTTAAATTGTTAACACTCTCAGTAGACCATCATTATCACG